TCTATCAAACGCGCATCAGCATGTTCATTAAATATCTATCAAACGTGCAACAGCACATCGATCAAAGACTTGTGTAAAACTAAGCGCCATAGGATACAAATAAAAGATATGTAAAATAGTATAATTAACATATTAAATCAGAAGCATGTTTGTTGTGTATGTGAGATGACAATTACCACATTACCTGGTGCATTCATAAGAATTCAATTCACAAAAGTTAGTATGACTTCATAAAAAATTGTTTTCACCTGCCCTGGTTATAATAAAAGATGTTATATTAAAATAACTGTTTAAACATAACAGCAGCAGAGTTTAATTACTTCTAATTAGAATGAAACTGAACGGTTGGGAAGCCACATTCTAAATAATGATAGCTAGGACTGGCAAGATATGTAAGATGGTCCTAATTTTTGATCTTTTCAAAATTAAGTTACTTCCTAACAATCAAAAAACAGTATGAACTTCTACTGTTCAAGCATGGATGGAGATTTTGTAAAGCCCTACCATAAAGCTAAGTGATCTTCTGTAGTCGTTTGTAACTGTCTCATTATCAATTTGTGTCACATGCTGATGAAGGTTTTCTAGCAATGTTAATTTTTACGTTCATGATTGTGGTTTTGGTTGACACTTTAGCAAGATCAAAGTAGACTGCAGATTAACTTAACTCTGCTGGCATTACCAAGTCAAGTAAACCAAAGATCCCTTTTTACGCCTGTAGGCGCATCAGGCATATGGGAAGAGCTATCATATTTTTACAGACCAATTGGCACTAGGTGGGTAATGTAGTCAGCATTACGCCAGCCATCTTTACTTCCCCAGGACATACATCCTGGTATCCATTTCAGACTGGATCGACCTGCGACGCCCCATACTGCGATAAAAATCCATGCAGCTAGCAGTGGTATGATGGAGTAACGAGTCGGACTCGCACCACCTAATCTATGGACGCCGCTGGCATTATCAAGTGATTGACATTTTAGCAAGATTAAAGTACAGCCTACATTAACTTTGCTGGCATTACCAAGTGACTGATATTTATTTTAGCAAGACTAAAGTACAGCATACAGTCTAGATCAACTCTGCTGGCATTGTCAAGTGATTATAACAACTAAGCCATTCTTTCAGCATGCTCTAAACAGAGATACATTTAAATAAAGAGACGCTAGCATTTATAGAATTTTACATTTCAATAATATAAGAAAATTAACTGTATTTACACAGCTGTCCAATATTATTTATTAATGACAAAAATACAACGTAGATGACAGCGCTATTTTGTGCCGTCAATGCTGTGTTAGGACATAGTGCACATATTCCAAACAAACAAACTTAATGATTATCTACATTTACATAACCCCCGAGTTGGTTCTGAGACCCCAATGGGGCGGTGGGGGTCATTATCGTCTAATAACCATGGCATAAAGGTAACTAATTACAAATTTACTGAAATTGAATATGTTGGGTGAAAGGGTACAGATCACATTTTTGCTGTAAACCACACTCTGTAAACCACGCCAATTGCCCTTTATAGGGTGAATGCAGAGGAACACAAAGAATTCAGATAACAAGACTCTGCCTGTGTGCTATCACCAATGTTTTATAAAGGAAAACAAAACAGAATTTCAGATTATGTATGAAATTCCTTACTGATAAATGTATGAAATTTCTCACTGACAAATGCACTGTGGGTAGTGAGGGTATGGAGTATTCAAGTAGCCAGAATAACACAGCCAGTCATAACACCATTCCAAAACAAGTTTATAAACAGGGAAACATCTAAATTTAAGGGTCTGTGCTATTAAATTACAAACACTTTAAAATACTTCGTGCAAGATGTGCCGAACAGTGAAAAATGAATTACTTTCATAGTAAAATTATTAAAAATTATACTGATAAAATGCACAAATCAATTAAAAGGAAAAATGTTAATAAAACTACTGTTACCTAACTTTTTGAAGATAAAATCACTCTAGTTCTTTAGTGAATGAATCACAATTTTCATTTCTCTAACAAGCAACTAAACTTAGCAGTCTTCTGTTCACATTTAATATGAAGACTTAAAGCCACCTACACTGGACTACAGGTAACTTCTTTTTCATCATGGCTGTGATATTTGCGTCTTTCAGCCAACCTATGCAACTTCAGCTGGTACTTGTTGACCAGGTTCGCCTTCCCTGGGGCTACAGGTTACTTCATAACCGTACTGCAGTGTCCCAATATAACTGTGCTTTATGGCTATACGGTTGAACAGATTTCTGGGACATGGACCTGTTTGATCCTCATACTTGAGACGTTAATCCATTAATCCTACAGCCTTCACTGCAATCCTGGAAGGTACAACTTAAAAATAAAAAGGCATAATTAAATGCAGCAGGTCTTGCTGTGACAGGGCATGATTACCGAGGTTTTTCCTTCAGCAGTTACATGTTGTTCTTGTTTGCCTTGGACTTTCTTCAGTCATGCTATCAGTGTGACTACAATTCTGGCCCCGCGCCTCATACCACGGATAGCCGCATGGTGCAGCAGCTAGATTCTCGCCTGCTGATTCGATGGTCCTGGGTTCAAATATGAAAGGAGCTGGACTTTTTTTAAAAATGACCTTGGTTCTCAGGCCAACCCAGCCCTAAACTGGTGTCAGGTGAAGTCCTAGCAAGTCAAGGCGGCTAGTGTGGTGTTCATTACATCCACCACCGAGTGCCAATTGGTCTATATAATTAAAGTCTAGCACTATATGCCCAATACGCCTGATGGCGTGGAATATGGTCTTCTACTTCACCTCATTCTGTGCGAACAGAATTTATCACTGTATATTGCAAATTTTTAATTTCTCTATGTAACAAGGCTATATATACCATTATGAATAATTACTGAAATCTGTTTATGTTTGGCTCTATTCATTTTAAAGTCTTTTTACAGCGAATGAAATCTCTCTCCCTCTCCTTTACATATTCATGATGCTGTCATATTCATTTCCAAAGTACAATATGTGATTAATTATTTAACAAATAACTGGCAGCCACCATAACTAAAGTTTTTCAATAACCATTTCACAGTTGAATTAGTGTTCCTTTTCCCAGTTTACTGAAAATGTTCAAGCTACTTTATTGCATATAAAGAAACAGCAGTGTTTGTGTGTGTATCTTCTTCTTCTTCTTCGCGTTCACCAGCTGTAAACTCTGGCGGGAAAGTTCTGGTTGCTCGTCCACTACTGAACTGCAGTCCTGCTCCAGAACCTGAGTGTTGCGTGTGCATCAGTTTTACAGATCTCATTCTCTTGAATACAGACTGTTGGTTCCTTGCCTCTCCGGCAGATGCACTCCGACTTCAAAGGAAGCTCCCCAATTAGTCGACTCTTACGACATGCTTTTGGGGAGGCAGTGGGTCTATTCTTGTTTTCCCCACAATGGGGCCCCGGAACCCACACGGGGGTGTGTGTACATTATGAGTTATAAGTTAGATTATGATTATCTTCACAGCACTCCAGACACATCCACAGGCGCTCAGATTCCCCCTTCAACATATTTATCAGCGTCGCGCAGCTAATAGTGCCAGTCCTATGTTGGTTAACAAGTGTGTGTGTGTGTGTATTTTATATATATATATATGAAGCCTCTATATCATCAGCACTGTCCACTACAACATACAATTCTTATATTTCTCATATTATACTTCTTATATTTCCTTTTCCCACATCAGTATGGCAATGACTGGTGCTGACACTATGCTCATTTCCCTAGCTGCACACAGAATTTACGGACAATTTCTGGGATAAAATAATTACTTCAATTATAACATGAACTGTCCGCAAAGAGAAGCATTTTCACAGGAGTCATATTATTTCTACTTCCTTCGCCACACCTCTACAGCAATGAGAAGCACTGATATGTAATCTGACATATAAAACAGCTAACACATAATAAAGAAAACAGGTTAATTAATCCATCCAGTGGCATATTCAATGATAATGTTATCTTTTAAATAGACATTCTAATCAAAATTATATTTCTTTTCTGGAAAAAAAAAAATTTGACAAAGAACAGAAACTATACCTAATGATCATCACACAGCAGATGTCAGGAGCTATAGTATTACCATAAACTAAACTGTTGTTGATATACAGGAAAAGATATGTTGGAGACTAACAAATCAACATCAGTAATTAGTTTCAAAGAAGAATGGATAAAAGCCATACACATATTTCAATGGTTGATTTTGTTACCCAACAATACAACAACATCAAATAAAAACTTTTCACAGAACAAGAATCCCTATACCAAGCAAATATAAAGTACCAATGTGAAAATTTCTGTCATTATTTCAGTCTGGGAGAGGGGTGTAAGTATAACCAGGAAATAACTGAAATATAACTGTGCAAAACTCATTTTTAATACTGTATATAATTATTTTTCTTCTTTGCATTCACCAGCTGTCAAAAAAAAAGGGGGGGGGGGGGGGGGGGTTTGGTCATTTATCCACTTCTGAACTTTGGTCTTGTTCCAGAACTTGAATTCTGTCTTACAGATCTGGCTTATCTGCATGCAGACTGTTGGTTCCCATTTGTGATTAGTCAACTTTTATGACATGGCTATTGAAGGACAGTGGGTCTATTCTTGTCTCCCCCCCCAATGGAAGCCCGGAAATACTATAATTAAGAAGTTACCCACTATGTTAAATTATATTTTTGACTATAAAATAATAAATTGCAGTCATCAATTTACCAGTCTAAAGATAGAGTCTTGGGTATAAAATTAAACAAAGAACTTAGTTAAAATCCATCGTCCATTTATCAGCCAAGATCTATTCTGGTGTATTAGACACACATTATACATATATATAATAAAATCATTGAAAAAAAAAGTATTTTATCTAGTCTACCTTACAAACATAAAAAAATGTATCAATATCAAATGAAGCGATTACAAGCAAAAGAGGTTAAGACAGACAAATGTAGCTAATTCAGCCTGGTGTGTTAATGAAACAGCACGAGTAATTCTCCTCACCTGCAATTCTTTGAGAGGACATGAGGGAACAGTGCCATCTCCTTGCTTCCAACTGGGAACCCATGCAAGGGGGCAGCCACTCCATACCAGGTTCCGTTTTTCATGAAGGAGATGCTGGCTGGGCGAGAATCCAGGTCAAGCAGGGCTCCAATCACATCGCCCTGCTCAAAGCGTACACCATAGTCGGTGAAGCGATTATTGGTGGAGAATTTCCCTGTGCCACCATAGCCAAAAGACCATGGCTCCTCACCTGTTGAAAATTTAAGCATAATATGCTATGTTTAAAACATACAGCAAATTAGATGGTAAACAGAACTGTGGAAGTATGAAGGTCAAAGGCAGGGCTATTCAACTGAAATTATTCAGGGCCCAATATTCCAAAATAAGGATCATCAAGGGCTAGAGGCCTGAGCCCCAGCATAGAACAATTACTGGAACGTGTTAAGTTTTCTGCCCCAAACAAAGGGTGGTTGGTCTTTCATTCATGCTTGGTGACATGCCACACGCGCTAGTCTATGCTACAGGGGTGTCAGATTGTGTTGTCTTCACGAAGAGCTTTCTATATTGTGCGCAGTGTAAGTGGCGAGCTAAATTTTTTGTTTTACTCACTGTTGTGAGCGGCCAGCGACTGTGTATATTATAGCTTTTCGCGGACTTGTAGTTACTGAAGGTGTCAGCGTTGACGAGCGACAAGTACAGCAGTGTTGCTTTTCTGCAGCAATATCGCTTTTTAGGGCGCACCGCAAAACGTCAACAATTTTGAAACCGTGGGAAGCACGCTGAGGCTTTGGCGTAGGAGGTGGTTGGGGTTAGGGCCAGTTCTAGGTGTCCTGTAAAAGCAGTCACATCGAGTAATATAGAACACGCGACATCACAAGTGAGAGCATCAAACACAATGATATGTGACACGCCAGTAACTCAAACCAGTGCGTGTGAAAGATCAAAAAAGCATGAATGAAAGGCCAACCATGGTTTGTTTGGGACAAAAACCATAAGAATAACCAGATCCTTAATACAACTGGCAGGGATCCGTGTGCTACTTGCAAGCCCTCCGCAGGCCACCAATTAAATAGCCCAGGTCTGAGGGCTTCGTACATACCAGGCTGTGACATGAGTAGTGGTGACTACTCCTAGCTTTCTTATTTGTCTCATTCTTCTCAGAGACATCTCTGATGGTTAACATTTGCGTTGAGTTAAGAATCAATATCACAGCACATGAGATATTCCCACAAGCACCATGTTCCCATCTTCAGCAGTCAGCACAGAGTTCCAAAACCAATTAAAGTCAAAGTCTGAGATTATGTCTTTCCTATCAGTGGTGAGTGTAAGCCAGATACCTTGGTCATTCCCTGCTGTACTATTATATCCACGCTGTGATGATCTATTTTACCGCTCAGTAGTAGTCAGTACAGTAGATGGAAGAATGAGACGGATGTACAAACATCTACTGGTGCCACAGGAATTGGAACTCTTCGTTTGCTGCTGAAGATGGGGATGGAGCACTTATGGGAGTGTCCCAAGTGCTATGATGTTGATTCTTAATCCAACATTGTTCCCAATCTCATCCTACTATATGTGTGCACGTTCCAAACTTTACTGCCATGCAGCATCTTTCACCATCTACCCAGAAGATGTGACAACAAATACAAACAAGCACTATAAACAATAAATCGCCTATACTGCCAGTATTTACTCCTTTTTGGGTGGTTTAGGACTGGAAGCGGGTGTGGGGGGGGGGGGGGGGAGCGAGTTTCCCCCTTGAGGCCTAAGGACATAAGGTCCATGCTAGTGCAGTTGCCACAAACTGTGCAGGTTTGGATTTTCATTTCTGTCTCACAATGGCACATTTGTTACTAGTTGATGTGAAAGTTTAAAAACACGAAAACTCGAAGACCTAGATGCAAAAGAACTGTTAAATGATTAGTTAGACCCTAAGGTATTCTTGCGGGCGATTTGAAGAATTCCAGCCAATAAATTACAAAGATTCTGAATGGCAAATTTATGACAAAATTATGTTCATTCTAGTTGCTATGCATTTTTTTTTCATTAGCATACCTAGATAACCAGAGAAATGAATCACAAAGACAACTTACCCAGCTGGAACGAGGAACTGTCAATGGACCACCCAACCCTCACTATATGGGGATCTTGTTCTTGATGGTCATCTCCAAAGTCTGTGGGCAAGTGTTCCACCACATGCACTTCAAAGAATACCTATCCAAAAACAAGAAAAGATGAACATTTGAGACAAAAGCTTAATGAATGTCTCAGTAAACTGATATTTAGTCAACCAATCAGCTGTTCTCTCTGCAAAGAAATCATGCTGCAACAGATTACCAACACTTAAACATTTTCTTTTAAGCTTTCACCAGCTGTAAACTCCGGAGGATGTGGGTTCCTCGCCTCTCATGCAGATGCACTCAACTTCAAAGAAAGTTAACCTTTTATGACATGCTTGTTAGTGAGGCAGTGGGTCGATTCTTATCTGCAAATTCAAGCCCTGGAACTCATACGGGGATCACACTTAAACAACAAATTAATGTATTAAATATGAGAGAAAATACTGAAAGCATTTCAATAATGAGGATAAATATCAACAACCTTTGACAGACTTTGCTTGCAGCTGTATTCAGCAAAAATATACTATAGTTATCTTGCTTACAGGTGCTGAGACTTGATAATAAAGTTAATATACACTTGTATATTAATCTCTCTCTATAATATTTATCTTTTAACACAAACGCACTCACACACGCACATATAGAGATATACAGGATCAATTCCCAATAGGCAAGAAAATTTGTTGACAGTAAGGCTCAAGGATCCATCCAGCCTTGCCAAAACCACTACCAGCCAATTTTCAGGAATGTCTGGCGATCATGAAAGGAACCGACCACTCCGCCTCAGATGCTTTAGTCTAGAATATGTGAGAGAGAGAAACAAAATAAGCAAACAAACTAGCTGGCTCTTCACCCTTTGGAGGTAAACTGATGCATGACAAGCCAGATGTTATCAAGGCCCTTTGGCACTGAGTTAACAGTTAACAGCATAAACAGATTATCATAGTCTCAAGGGTTAGGGTTAGGGTAAGGGAATTGCCTAAGCAGCAAGGAGTGACCAGGGGATATGGCCAACACTGAATAATCAGGGGATATGGCTGACACTGAATAATCAGGGGATATGGCCAACACTGAATAATCAGGGGATATGGCCAACACTGAATAATCAGGGGATATGGCCAACACTGAATAATCAGGGGATATGGCCAACACTGAATAATCAGGGGATATGGCCAACACTGAATAATCAGGGCAAATGGCTGACACTGAATAATCAGGGGATATGGCTGACACTGAATAATCAGGGGATATGGCCAACATTGAATAATCAGGGGATATGGCCAACACTGAATAATCAGGGGATATGGCCGACACTGAATAATCAGGGGATATGGCCGACACTGAATAATCAGGGGATATGGCCGACACTGAATAATCAGGGGATATGGCTGACACTGAATAATCAGGGGATATGGCCGACACTGAAAAATCAGGGGATATGGCCAACACTGAATAATCAGGGGATATGGCCGACACTGAATAATCAGGGGATATGGCAGACACTGAAAAATCAGGGGATATGGCCAACACTGAATAATCAGGGGATATGGCCAACACTGAATAATCAGGGGATATGGCCAACACTGAATAATCAGGGGATATGGCCAACACTGAATAATCAGGGGATATGGCCAACACTGAATAATCAGGGGATATGGCCAACACTGAATAATCAGGGGATATGGCCAACACTGAATAATCAGGGGATATGGCCAACACTGAATAATCAGGGGATATGGCCAACACTGAATAATCAGGGGATATGGCCAACACTGAATAATCAGGGGATATGGCCGACACTGAAAAATCAGGGGATATGGCTGACACTGAATAATCAGGGGAAATGGCCAACACTGAATAATCAGGGGATATGGCCAACACTGAATAATCAGGGGATATGGCCAACACTGAATAATCAGGGGATATGGCCAACACTGAATAATCAGGGGATATGGCCAACACTGAATAATCAGGGGATATGGCCAACACTGAATAATCAGGGGATATGGCCAACACTGAATAATCAGGGGATATGGCCAACACTGAATAATCAGGGGATATGGCCAACACTGAATAATCAGGGGATATGGCCAACGCTGAATAATCAGGGGATATGGCCGACACTGAATAATCAGGGGATATGGCTGACACTGAATAATCAGGGGATATGGCCGACACTGAAAATTCAGGGGATATGGCCAACACTGAATAATCAGGGGATATGGCCAACACTGAATAATCAGGGGATATGGCCGACACTGAAAAATCAGGGGATATGGCCAACACTGAATAATCAGGGGATATGGCCAACACTGAATAATCAGGGGATATGGCCAACACTGAATAATCAGGGGATATGGCCAACACTGAATAATCAGGGGATATGGCCAACACTGAATAATCAGGGGATATGGCCAACACTGAATAATCAGGGGATATGGCCAACACTGAATAATCAGGGGATATGGCCAACACTGAATAATCAGGGGATATGGCCAACACTGAATAATCAGGGGATATGGCCAACACTGAATAATCAGGGGATATGGCCAACACTGAATAATCAGGGGATATGGCCAACACTGAATAATCAGGGGATATGGCCAACACTGAATAATCAGGGGATATGGCTGACACTGAAAAATCAGGGGATATGGCTGACACTGAATAATCAGGGGAAATGGCCAACACTGAATAATCAGGGGATATGGCTGACACTGAATAATCAGGGGATATGGCTGACACTGAAAAATCAGGAGATATGGCCAAAGCTGAATAATCAGGGGATATGGCCAACACCGAATAATCAGGGGATATGGCCGACACCGAATAATCAGGGGATATGGCCAACACTGAATAATCAGGAGATATGGCCGACACAGAATAATCAGGGGATATGGCCGACACCGAATAATCAGGAAAAGGTAAGAAGCACATACAATCAGACTGCAACTGGTAGTATCAGATCTGGAACTCTGCATTGGCCGGTAAAGATAGGGAAGGAGAGCCTAAGGAAATACCTCAGGCGCTGTGATGTCAGTGTTTGACTCAAATATCTTAATATAGAATTAAACTGACAACTAAGCAATGGTGAAATTAATTTAATCTGAACAAAAAAACCAAAAAAATCCTTACTTTGCCCCTGCATACTCCATATGTGGCTCTAGCCCCAGCCCAGGTAAAACAAAACCCAGAGGGATCATTTAGAACAGTTCCTCCATACCTGAAATACCAAGAGAATACATTTGGATTTTTGTTTTTTAAATTTAACTTAGAAAAAAAAAAAGTTAATAATACTATTTTATCCTCAGGTCCAAAAAGTGACCTTCCATTTTTACATAAACATGCATAAACATCGGAGCAATGGTAGTGTAGTGGCACATCTACAAGTCTAAGTTGTTGGGTTTAAATCGGCATAACGGATTTCTTTTCAAAACTGCTTGGCTCCCATTTTTTTTTACCCAGCCTAAAATAGGTACCAAAATGTAATGGCCTTGGACAGGGTTATTCCACCAAGTTTACTCAGAGGCCAACATTCTGAAAATGTGAATATAGCCTTGGACAGGGTTATTCCACCAAGTTTACTCAGAGGCCAACATTCTGAAAATGTGAATATGGCCTTGGACAGGGTTATTCCACCAAGTTTACTCAGAAGCAAAGATTCTGAAAATGTGAATATGGCCTTGGACAGAGTTATTCCACCAAGTTTACTCAGAGGCCAACATTCTGAAAATGTGAAAATGGCCTTGGACAGGGTTATTCCCCCAAGTTTACTCAGAGGCTGACATACTGAAAATGTGAATATGGCCTTGGACAGGGTTATTCCCCCAAGTTTACTCAGAGGCCAACATTCTGAAAATGTGAAAATGACCTTGGACAGGGTTATTCCACCAAAATTACTCAGAGACTGACATACTGAAAATGTGAATATGGCCCGGGACAGGGTTATTCCACCAAGTTTACTCAGAGCCTGACATACTGAAAATGTGAATATGGCCTGGGACAGGGTTATTCCACCAAGTTTACTCAGAGGCCAACATACTGAAAATGTGAATATGGCCTTGCACAGGGTTATTCCACTAAGTTTACCCAGAGGCCAACATTCTGAAAATGTGAATATGGCCTTGGACAGGGTTATTGCACCAAGTTGACTCAGAGGCCAACATTCTGAAAATGTGAATATGGCCTTGGACAGGGTTATTCCACCAAGTTTACTCAAAGGCCAACATACTGAAAATGTGAATATGGCCTTGGACAGGGTTATTGCACCGAGTTTACTCAGAGACCAATATACTGAAAATGTGAATATGGCCTTGGACAGGGTTATTGCACCAAGTTGACTCAGAGGCCAAGATTCTGAAAATGTGAATAGTCACAGGCCTGAGGTCCCAGCCCCATCACAGAAGGATCATTAATACAGATGCATTATTAAACAACTGGCAATGATCCACAGGTAGTTGCTAGGCCCTGGGGGAGGGGGGGGGGCCACATTACCCATCAAGTGCTGATTGCGAGTGCTGATTGATCTATACAAATATGAATCTAACATAATATGACTGACACGCCACAGACAAAATAACGCACTTTGCATAAAGCAAATCTATTTTTAGTGCATGGAGTGTGATGGAATGAAAGAGCTGATTCTCTGGCCACAAAAGGGATAGCTACTTAACACTGGTACTGAACAAAGGAGATGAGACATTCAGAAGATCATTTATAAACAATCGCTGATAGAAGACACAAGGTTAAATGGAATAATATGTGTAAGAATGTGTGAGCAAGGGATCAGGTGTAGGTCATTTGCTGTTGGAGACGAAGCACCTATGGGTATGCCCTGTGTGATATGATGTAGATTTTTTAATCAGTATTATTTCTAACACCTGCCGGGTCTTCATGTGTGTCATTTTTGGATTTCCCTGCAGTACAGAAGTGTGTGGTTAGTGCTTCATCTCCCTGCCATCGACTAGCGGTATCCATAAGGGTAGAGCTGTGTGTGTGCATGCATGCACACGAGTATATGCATGGAGAGAGACAGAGTTATACGCATGGAGAGAGACAGAGTAACTAGAAGATGTAAAAAAAGGAGACAGGAAGGAAGGAACATTGTATTACTGAAAAAGACACTATATAAATAAATATAAAAAGTGTGCGTGTGTGTGGACAGCGGCCACACCCCCCCCCCCCACCCCGGCAACGGCTTTGACAGGCCGGTGACACTAACAAATCGCTGTGGAGTGCATGGCGAGGCATGCAGAGCGGCCTGGTCATCCACTGCACCTAGACATATCTCCAGTTGTCCTGACTCTGTCTTGCTACTGGACTCAGATATGACTTAGGCGAGAGAGTGAGGTCGACGACACTGCGCAACTCTTCCTCACTTTAATCCAAGTCACCGTGCAAGTCACTCTTTCATCTTCATACTTCATGAAAAAGAGTGGTCATCATCATCATCTTCATGGACAACAACACACACATATATGTATGTATGTATGTATGTATGTATGTATGTATGTATGTATGTATGTATGTATGTATGTATGCATGCATGTATGTATGTATGTATGCATGCATGCATGTATGTATGTATGTATGTATGTATGTATGTATGTATGTATGTATGTATGTATGTATGTATGTATGTATGTATGTATGTATGTATGTATGTATGTATGTATGTATATTGCCAAAGTTTCAAACACAACTGTCTAAAAGTAGTCCAATTTAAATTTCCTGTGAGCAAATTCACAATCTAAGAGACATGCAAGAATGTTTATTGAAAAATGGAAAGACGAGAGTAGTAATTCTGAACCAGGTTTTATTCCACATGGCCTAGTCTTTCTCAGAACACTAGCTAGAAGAATGTGAGTACTGCACAAAGCATGAACTGTGTAGTTCCACTGACAATCCTCATGCTTGACTGAAAGATGAATGACAAAAGACGAGGAGGAAGAGAAGATGAAGAGGAAAGGCAAACATCCTTAGGGTAAGAGCAGCTAGGCTGTTAGAATAAGTGCATGAAGTTTTCAAGCTAATTAAAAAAAAAACTACTAGTTTTAATATATGTTTAGTTAAGACCATCATAACAGCACTCAGGACATTCCCATAAGTGCCTCATCCCATCTTCAGCAGAAAGTGCACAGTTCCAATGCTGACAGTACTGGTCGCAGTTTGATTATGTTTGTCTTGTCTTTCCATTGAGTGTTGAGTGCTGGCCCAGATCTCCACCCCTCCCTCTGGTAACTCCACATTGCACCTTTCTTTTTTTCCACACTGAAATTATATATCCGCACATCTGCACTGTTCACATGCTTCTAAATACACTTGACAATATCTATCCTGCGTGCATCAGTTAACCAACCGGTAGTGCAGAGCCAGCCAATCTGTGTGCCTGATCACTGCCCAACCTACCTGCAACCCGTGTGTTAAAGGCACAGAGGAATCAATTCTTTCAGACACATTCAAATGAAAAATCTTATTGAAACAAACATACCCATCAGGATCTATGACTAGATTGAGGTCTGAGTTAAAATGATCCAAGAGAACTGCATATTCATCAAAATTTGGCTCATCAAGATCTGATTCGGCCTCAGGCTGCCATCGGTTGGCTGTCTGTCGGCCATAACTGCTCAACCTATAGAAATCCAAAACAAACGACATACATTAGCAATATTCATGCTGAGACTTTGTGAAACTCAGAGACTGTCTGTCCATCTTTACTGCCTGCACCACTATTTTTGGAGCAGGGTAAGAAAGGAAGGTCTCGAGCCCGAGGATTTAAGACCACTTGGCTAGTGCAGTCACCAGACTGTGCAGGTTAGGATTTTAATTGTGTCTTAACAGAAACAATTTATCAACTTACCAAGGAATCAAACCCTGTTTCCTTAATGACAGCCCAGAGTTTTTAACTGCTCCGCTCAACAGATACTCTTGGATGAAATTATTTCAAACAAAATTAATATTTTTCTATTCTAAAGCAATGGACACAGTTTGCAATCAGACAATATGTCAAGATCTTGACCCCACGCTTTACAATCCGTCATAGCTGTGATGGTTTGGACATGTATGCAGAATAGGGAGAAAAATGGCCACCATGGCAGTGGAGACTAAGAACCAGGGACCAGACCTCTAGGATGACCCAGGGTCCGCTGGGATGACAACATCCAACAGTCCCTGCAGAGGACTGGAATGGAACAAAGCCAGAAAGAAAACTGCTGAAAGAGGAGTTGGGCAATCTCTCGGGCGAACCTCCACACCCCAGGGTAGAAGAGAAGTAACTAAGTAAGTGTATTCTTAAGGTTAAGAGACATCTAGTGAGTGTTGGTGTGGTGTTCAGTCTCCGATATTTTATCATTTAAAGATATAGACTCTTAATAAAATATATACAAAAATGAAAAAGTTGCACTTCACAGCGGAAAAAAAAAGATAGTCCTAGATCTTACCCTTGCTCTTCTTCCTTCTTCCTGAGTAAATCATGAACTGCAACAATCTGGTGTGGTGACACTGAGGCTTGATGGAGCTGCTGCAGTTGCTGCAGCTGAGACTGTAAGTGTTGAGGTTGCTGCTGTAACTGTTGCTGTTGTAACTGCTGCTGCTGTTGTTGTAGCTGTTGTTGCTGTAGCTGCTGCTGCTGAGCAAACATTTGAGATGATAAAGCAGATGACGCTGTGAGAGGAGCCAGGGCTGCATAAGACGGGAGCCCTGGAATCGCATGGTGAAGTCCAGGAATATTTCCGCCCATAACAGACATACCAGAGGCCGCAACTCCAGCCATGTGGGGAGGCAGTCCAGCTATACTGACCATGCCTTGATGACCCATACTCAGGGCACTCAAGGCTCCGGCGGAAGTGACCACAGCAGAAGACATGACTGGCGCTCCTGCAGCGTGCGAAGCTGCTGCTGCAGCCTGGGCCGCCATATGCTGGTGGTGCAACATGGCAGCTGGCTGTAGGGCTCCGTGTGGGTGATGTCCTGTCATACCTGGAGGCAGCTGTACTGCTGTTCCACCAGGCATCATCATGTACTGCTGGGGCATCATCATAGGCACAAGGCCTGCTGGGTACTGGTTCATGGTTATGCTGGGCGCTTCCACAAATTTATCACCAGTAAATATACAAGTATTAAACTGGCACTAGTTTTCAGAAATTTGAAAATGTGTTGTCAATGCATACACCCAGAATATCTGCAAACAAAAAAAGCAAATATACCATGTAAAATTTACTCTTCATTTAATGTATGGTGCAGAAATATGACAATGAAACAATATTCATAAGAAGAAAATTTAATTTGTTTAAATCTTCTTCTTATGGTCTATGCCTTCTGTCTGTATAATGTGCAAATGATGGCAACCACCAATGACCAGTTCTGAAAGCTTTTCAGCTGCTCATATGCATGCATCACCCGACATGTGGTTACACAGATAAAATGGCAATAAATGTGGCAGGAGAAGAAAAAGTATTATTCAGAACTGGGACTGAAGAAAACAGTGATGGGGAAAATCAAGGGCAGACAAAATATTTCACTTTTATAGAGATAACTTACTGTTAATGAATCCGCAGAGGTGGTCAGTTTGCTAGACGGAAAATCATTAAGTAAACGCAACCGCATTAACATGTTTTTTTTTTCTTTTTTAAAGCAGCCGGAACATAATTGTTCTGTGTCCTACATCACAACAGTCTCCCTGCCTTGCAACACATATAGTCCACCGATCCACAAGTTTGTGGATGCCCAGCAGGCAGAAGTTTTTGGGTGTGGCCAGTAACCAAGTTTGCACCACTGACATCACCTCATTGTCATCTGCATATTTCTGGCCCTTTTTGTCTCTGTGGGTGTCAGTATGTGTTTGTCTGCCTGTTTGTCTATATTTGTGTGTGTGTGTGTTTGACTGCGTGTGTGTCTATGTGTCTGCATGTTTGTCTGCATATGTGTGTGTGTGTCAGTGTGTGAGCACGAATGTAAATATGTGTGCTGTGTGTTTCCCTGTGTGTGTTTATATGTAAGTGTCTGTGTGTGTGTCTGTATTTTTGTCTAAGTGTGTATGTCTCCGTGGGAGTGTCCGTGTGTGCATGTGTGTGTCTCCATGCATGACTGTATTTATGACTGTATGTTTGTATGTGTGTATGCCTGTATTACGTATGAATGTATGTATGCCTGTATGTGTGTATCTATGTATGTATGTATGTATGTATGTTTGTGTGTATGTATGTATGTATGTATGCCTGTGTGTATGCCTATATGCATGTTTGTTTGTATGTATGTAATGTATGCATGCATGTATGTGTGTGTAAGTGAGTGAGCGTGTGTATGTGGGTGTATGTATGCACGCGCGGGTTTTTGCATGCACTTTACAAAGAATATTGTGTTGAACAGTTGTTTTTTTTTTAATGTTCATATATATATTCACGTGCTTCTAATTCATATATGCGACATTTGGCCTAAAATTTATTTGCTTTATTTCTTTATTATTTCTTCCGTCTTCTGAAAAAATGCTCGCTAAAAAGCCCATCACCTATTTCAATTGATATCATTGATGTTCATCAATTCTGATATTGGTGGTTCTTCCTTTTGTGGAAAATGTCATCAATTCTGTTTCATCTATGTTAATCTTCATTTTACAGTCGTTGCATGCTGAACCCGGTAAGCGAGATTATTATTATTTAGTTTCATAATAATAAACTTTCAACGCTTTGCTTTACTCATCATTACTGCAATCAGTCACATCCATTTCTCCGTTAGATAACACTAACTACTACAGTCATGACCTGTCCTCCAACACATTATCACCTAGCTAAGAGAGTAGTCTAGCAGCCTAGAAGAGTGAAGATCAATCAAGATCGTCAATAATTCGTTTAACCCTCTTAGCACGGACGGGCCGATTATCGGCCGGCGGATGTCAGGCCAAAAACACGGAACGGCCGATCATCGGCCCGATCGTGTTTCGCCTCGAACCGCTAAGAAATCTCCTACTTTGAAACACTGAAAGTGATTCATTTATATTAACTGCTGTATCAGCTTTACACATGGCGACTTTCAAGTGTTTGGTATCGAAGTGAAAATTGTTGTTGAATTTTTTAGATAGTGACCTGAACCGCTAAAAGTATGTCTGACTCGTTTGTTTCTGCCCCTAAACTTGATGTTGATAAAACATTTGAATCAAGCGATGACACTAATTCTGTTGATACTGATGCAGGATCTAGTGTTAGTAGTAATAGTGGGAATCAGATGGGGACGCTGTTGTGTTTAGACCACAGCCCAACCATGGCTCAGGGTATATCCACCCGAAGGTGTTGACACTCCGACACATCCATTTCTAGTGCTGACTGATGGTGAAAAACACATGTCACCTAAAGATATTATTGCTGTTTCACATATATATACCTGTTTTTGACTATTAAATTGCTTACAACATTTGTAAAAAGGCCAAAGATCAATAACAAGATTTCAAATAAACAAAAAATTTTGTTTTTAGTTTTATGTTTCAAGCATTGAAGTTGAAAATTCAAATTCATATTTTCTATTTTTAGATATGATATGCAAATGAGATAATTTGCATATACATCAATTAATTTTAATGATATTGTGAAAATCACGAACTTCAATCTATATCCTTCAAATAGATATATTATTTCATGGGGTCAGAATAACAGAAATCTGTCATAAAAAATTAAATAAAAGTAATAACCAAATTCACTGAAAAAATGCTCCGTGTTTTTGGCTAGACCTCTGAAAAACTTCCCGTGCTAAAAGGGTTAAATATTAAATCAATAGTTGTTATAATGTATTAATTATATGTACTATTGTACTCGTAGTATGTACAACTATAGTTTACAACAGTACTGTGCAGAGTTCACGTACTAAACAGTAACTGAGTAACAGTAGTAACACATTGTTCAAACCCAGTGTTTAGTTTAGTTTCTAAATCTCTCTAAAAATGCAGCACTGCTGGCAGAATGCAATCAATTTACGTTTATTTATAATTAAAAAGGACCCTCATCTGGGAGAAGTTTTTATTCCCTAAAAAGTAACTCGGTGACTAAAATCAAATTCCTGCAAGCGTGACCCCACCCCAAGCCAGCATCATTTGTTTAGGTCGAATTTGCGATTCCAAATTCTGATCCATTTTCTGAAAATAACATATAAACTGTAACTTCAAAAAGCTCTTTACATTAAAGTCATGTTTTTTAGTAACGTAAATCAGTATACTTACTGCTGGTGATAAAATAATACAGAAAAATCTAGTACAAATTATTTAGGTGATCATTATCTGCCAAATAATGTCGGCCATTTTGTGTTTAGCGAGTCTCGGAGTCTCGTGAGAGTTGAGCGATATTATCGTTTACCCGACCGTTAATTTTGAAATTGTTCCGTTACTTTCGCAATCGCATGGAGTCGTTTAACTTTTACCGCTCAAAGCGGTATTTTTCTGTTATGCGCAGTCCTTCTATGCAGCCACTCTAAGGTACCACTACTTGTTCCCATGATAAGTTGGTTATAATGTATCCCATCTTGACCTCGAAGATTTTTTTTATCACATTTTATTATGTTAAACAGAGTCTCTGGAATTTGCCATATGTCCCTTAAATCAGTGGTTCACAAACTTACTAATGGCGCGACCCTGTAATATAGTTCTTCATGTTGCGGCGACCCCTGTTGCCACTATATAACTTCAGTAAATACGTGTTTTCCGATGGCCTTTTGTCGACCCCTGTGAAAGGGTTTCTCGGCCCAAAAGGGTCGGGACCCACAGGTTGAGAACCGCTGTCTCAAACTTCCCTTTGTGGCTTGACTGCACACAGCAAGAAAATGACGTGCAGTAGTACTAAACAGACCCCTTAGAATGTAGGGAGAAAAAAGCAGACAGAATATTGAGCAAATGTATCTTCACAGTAAGGAACTGGACACAGAAGCTGTCTTACATGACCCACATAAACACGGAAACAAATAGACAAACTGATATTCAGACAGATAGATAGAAAGATAGATAGATAGACAGACAGATCTTTTAAGCCAAACAGTTTTTTAACACATTCGACGGGTGTGCCGTTCCCGTTACTAACCATTCATCATCATCATCAGGTGCCTTGCTGACTGGTGTGGGCGATCATGCCTCTCCATAATCTGCGATCTCCTGCAGCATGTATCTGTTCGTGTGCCGACACACCTCCATGCCATGCAACAAGACTGTCAAGCATCTTCTCTCGTTGTCTTCCTCTATCTCTCCTTCCACATATCTTTCCAGTGGTCAAAACATGTTATATTTTCCTTCTTCTCATAACATGGCCGAAAAATGATGACTGTCTCCTTCTGATGTCTGTGATAAGTTGTCCTCGGGCTCCCGCCTCTTTCAAAACCTCTTGGTTGCTCTTTTTAGCTGTCCAAGGTATTCTAAGCATTCTTGTGTAAAACCACATCTCCGAGGCCTCCAGAAATTGTTTGGCCTGCCTACCACATTCTTCCACTTTCTAACACCATAATGTCTATCATTTCATGTAGTCCCCCGTGTGGGTTCCGGGGTCCCATTGTGGGGAAAACAAGAATAGACCCACTGCCTCCTAAAAAGCATGTCGTAAGAGTCGACTAATTGGGGAGCTTCCTTTGAAGACGGAGTGCATCTGCCGGAGAGGCAAGGAACCAACAGTCTGCATTCAAGAGAATGAGATCTGTAAAACTGATGCACACGCAACACTCAGGTTCTGGAGCAGGACTGCAGTTCAGTAGTGGACGAGCAACCAGAACTTTCCACCAGAGGGTACTGCTGGTGAACGCGAGGGAGGATTGAAACATTTGTTGTAGTTCTTTCTGACTTGTTGCTATCAAGACTTTGTTAACAGCATAACGTTGTCACCATTACAGAAAGTAAATTCGTTCGTGTCACAGGTTAGGTCCAATAGATCTCATCAAGGAACCATGTAACAGAAGGGCTGTCGACGCACATAACCTACGAAAAATGTATAGAGAAAAATTAAGAGAGGGGGCGATCACACTGATGTGCGCAGAATCTGTTTAAAAAAAATAATAATCATGGGACGTGACTCCAAAAATGGTTAAACTATGGGGGTGACTGCAGTCAAG